ATCCAAGAAGCGTCTTCAGTTCATCTTCGACTCTGCCACCTCCAATTCGGACTGCTGTGTTTTAGTCATTTCAGCTATCTCCAAACTATACATCAAAGCATGTCTCACTACCACCTTGTAAACCTTCCCTTTCACATTCGTTGATATCCTTCTGTCACAAATCACCCCGGACACTTGGCTCATAGTCCACAGAAACTCCTCCCTGACCTCATCTGTCAGTGATCACCATTGTAAACACGAAGGGGCTCAGTGCAGATCCCTGATGTTATCCCAGCTCAAACTTGAACCCATCTGTCAGCCTCACATACTTCTCCTTGAAGAGGCATAAGGAGCTGGTTCACTTCCTCACTTTTCCGCAGTGGGGCGATGTTTCAGACTAGTGACGGTCCAGCTCCATAACCCGGAAACAGCATCACTAAAGGTCTCTTAGCGTCACGCTTCCAACATGGCGGTGAATCTGACAGACCTCTCCCTGCCTCAATTAGAGGGACTGAAAACCCAGCTAGACCAGGTAGTGTGCCTGGTTTGTCCGTGTGTGTGTGAGAGAGAGGAATGTGTCCTTATAAAGGGGTCTAATCAGAGCTTTAAGCGTGCTGAGAACGGGCCCGGGTATTCAGCCGGCTAGCACCACTGATGCTAACAGTGCAAACCCATTGTTGTTGATGTTGTCGGCACACCTTATCAAGTCAAGCATAAAACCATTGGTTGGTAACCGTGTGCCACTTGCTTTCTACACGTTGTTGTGTCTTTTTGCAGGAAGTTGAGTTCTTGACGTCTTCGATAGGTCAGCTCAAAGTTGTCCAGACCAAGTATGTTGAGGCAAAAGATAGCTTGAATGTCCTAAACAAAAACAATAAAGGTGAGTAATAATTTTAACTTCTGACAGCCTATTAATTCAGTGCACCTCTGGTAGATTGAAAAACATGTTTATCTCAACACTCAAGAGGCGTGAAATTGACTATATCGGCAATTACTCGTATTATTATATATTAGATGAACCGGTATTCAAATGAAATGCAAGTAGCAGCTACTACCCTGTTTATTTACTTCCCCTTTTAACCTGCCAGTTAACTGATAAATGTTATGTAGTGAGAGTGAGGAGCAGGTGGAAGAGAGCCTAGAGAGGTTTGAAAGTCAGCACAAGTGTGAATGTGAGAGAGACGGATGTAACGGTAAAGAGTATTGGAGTTTAAATGCCACAAATGTCCAGAGTTTCCAAAATGAATGCCATGTTGATGTCAGAGTAGAAAGGTCAGACTGCTTTGAGCTACTGGAAGAACAACAGCAACTCAAATAACCACTCTTAATAACTAAGGTCTAAGACATTCATCCGACGTCCTCTATTAGAAATCAACTACACATCCTGGATTATAGTGTACATGACTGAGTTTGTGGATATTACCCCTTTTGCAGTTTCAACAAAACAAAAAAGCAAGAGCAAAACACAGAAGGGCTGAGGCACTGATCTGAGCTCATATGTACGACATCAGCTTTGCTGACACAGCGTCACACTCTAATGATATAACCAGTCATCACATTAAAAATGACACTTGTTACAACCTTATTAGTTCTTATGACACCCCCCACGACCATTTCTGGCCAAAAACAGAATTCTGCTTTTTCAGTAATGTTTGCTGGAAATCTGTGGCTTAATTTGATTTATTATTACCTCCTCCTTTCTCCTCTCTCATATAGGAAAAGAACTCCTTGTGCCTCTTACCAGTTCTGTATCCTTTTGTTTGCACTGGACAGTAAGTGTTTTGCTGTGTTGTATGATGTGCTTTAAATTACGCCATGGTTATCTTGAGCTATGCATGTTTGTCCTTGACATTCCTGTTACTCAGATGTATGTCCCTGGGACATTAAATGATGTGGAACACGTTTTAGTGGATGTGGGGACAGGATACTATGTTGAAAAGGTAAAAAAAAAAAATTGCAATTTGAAAAGCCATGAATGGATTATAGTGAAACAAAATGTTTAAATGTGTTTGAGTTGTGTTGAGATTTCTCCTTTATGTCTCTGCAGAACGTGGAAGACTCAAAGGCATTCTTTAAGCGCAAAATAGACTTCCTCACAAAGCAGATAGAGAAAATTCAGCCGGCCCTACAAGAAAAACATGCCATGAAACAAGGTAACTTCCTTATCTCAGTGCACCATCATTCCATGTGACATTATACTGGTTGATATTAAGCACTGTATGAGTCAGAATTCTGGCTGGGTTGAAGGGGGATGAATTACTTATTTTATTCAATGACATGCATGTTTCTGGACTTTTTATTTGTTGTTTTCTTCAATTAAAAGGAAATTATCCTAAAAATTAGACGACAGCAATTATGATTATTTTCACCACGTTAATGTCGACTCTTTTTGAATGGATCGAACCTCAGTCTTGAAACTTTACCTTCATTTTGATCTCATCGACAAAGCTTCATGTGTGTATCTTGCAGAGTTGTGATACTGTTGTGGTGACAGATTGTGCCAAATAACAACCAAATTACTCATAGTGCCTTTGCAGTTGTTCCTGGTACAGAAGGTATCTTTATAAACACATTTTATCATCATTGACAAAAACACAGACTTACAAGGTGAAGATGATATCAGCTAAAAATCCATGTCCACTCATGTAATGTGTTGTCCATTGGATAATAAGTTTGCAATGCAACATAACTCCCCCGCATCTTCACTGTGTCTGTGCCAGGCATCATACTCGTCCTCATTCTGTCTGTTTGTTTTTTTTAGTTCATTTAGCCTTGGCTTTTTTACCGTACAGTTTTTGTTTTATACACTAAAGAGTAGTAAACTAAATACTTAAGTAGCTTTCAGCATAGCTAGCTAATATGAATTTTGATGAATTAACCTATAAAGATGACATTTGATGACCTCTCCTGTACCCTCAACCTAGTACACTAATGCTGGGTGATTTAACCCATGTGTAAGTTATATAAAACAGCATGTTATTGTTGTTGGGTTAGTAACGACTTTACACCTTGGCATTTATCAATGAAGATGTGGTTCAACAACCATTAGAATAGTATTCGGGTTTATCCAGGGTAACTAGGGGCAGAAACCCCCTCACTAACTTTTGATTCAAACACACTCATTTTGTTCTAATAGGAATTAAATATGAGAGAAACCACTCAGGAAAGAGTTTCAAGGGTTATTCTGAGTAAGCTATGAAGGGTAATAGAGCTAAAATACAATAAAAGTTGTTCATCAAATCACCTGAGTGAATAGTTCAAATGTGAAGAAAAGCAATGTTTTCAGCCTCTCCCATCCAACAGGAACAGCATGCTAAATTAAGAAACAGCTCAACTGAAAGTCATTTGTATGCTTATGAACTGCCCAATCTTTAAATTTGGCACATTTCCTGCCCCTCCCTGCTGTCTGTATTGCAATGCGATTCTTGCACTACACAGGGGTGAGTCTAAGGAGGGGCCAAATGTCACTTTAGTGACTATTCTTTGGGATTTGGATAATATAAATTATTAATCTAGCAGGAATTTTATGTATATTCTTATTGATTAAACTAGCAATATATAAAGAAACTAAATATGCTTTTTCTGGGACAGCAAATGTTTGATCAGTGGACTTATGAACCATGACTGTTTTTTTTTTTTTTATGAAGCCAAGTATTGAGTCTTTAACATTAAAGAATAACAGTAATTTCCAGTGTCCATGCCATTACAAAAGATGGATATGAGTGCATATCGGAAAATGTTATGTTATGTAATGTAATCGATAGCAGCGTTGGATTTATATTATACTTGTCTTCTTTTTTGCAGCTGTAATTGAAGTAATGAACATGAAGATCCAGCAGTTACAACAGAGCCAACAATCCTCGCAAATGGGGACCACCAAGGCATAATAAGAACAGCTGTTTGAACTCCTTATGAGCGGGAGGATTTTTTTAGTTTGTGTTGAGAAAACATGCTTCAATCTGACGAGCACAAACCTTGTTTCAAGTATATTACAAGTAGCCTGTTGTTATTGTAAAGCAGCCATATGCGCTTGGTCAATTTTAAATTAAATTGGGTGTCCAGCATGTTTGATTATTAAAGAGGTCACTGTGGATTCAATGAACATTCAAGTGTTTGTGTTATTGTGTTTATCAGTGAAAGTTAATAAGGACAGCTGTTTTGTTTGTAAGACTGAACATTGTAAAAATGCACTACTGGACTCTACTTTACTTACAAGACGCTGCACTCCCACTCCCATGTTTTTATTTATTCTGGTTAATTAAATTCACAGGGGCTGCGCCATCCTTTCTGACTTGTTTAGCTGGGGTTTAGAAGGGGTTGAGTTAGAATGAAGCTTGCAGGGCTTTAAAAGGCAGACAGTGATCATTGTTTCTGTGTTGCAGTGTTTCAGGTGTTAGCAGGGATTCTGACTTATTGCACAGGTTGGGTAATCAGCAATCCACTAATCACATAGTGTTGTGTAAATTGTGTTGCTTTTGAAAGACTGTGGTAAACGAACTCCCTGTAATAAGTTTGACTGAGGTAAATCTCAAAAACAGTGACCTCTACAGGACATTTTGACTGTTTCAGAGTAAACTACAGCTTCTCCCGACGGCCATGTGCTTAGCTTCACAAAGTGATCATGAGACTTTGACCCCTTCAGGCTGAAGGTGGGCAGGGCCATACTTAAATTGCAAGGTCACTGTAGAAGGCCACAATTGCCCTAAAAAAAATAGTAATGTGACATCATTAAATAAAATTGGAACTAGCTTATTAAATGTTAAATTAAATGAATCGATAACTTATTTATATTGATTAATTATTTCACTTTGTAATTAATAGCAGTTTTCTAATTTTGTCACTCCTCCACAGTTCTCTGATTCAATTTGCAGATTTAATCAGCCAAAAGTGAAATCACATGTGCGGGTTTTATGAGAGCTGCGCTGATTCAATCGACATGATTTCATCAGTATTGTCGTGCTGGAGCAGCACCGGATCAAGTCCCACCCACCAATTACTGTTTAGGTGAACTTCGCCCGGTGACCCAGTTTTGTCCGAACTGCATGCTGTCACACTTCACATTTTAAAACCTCTCCTTGCTTTTACTTTTCCTACTGCGACAACTCAAACGTATTGGACTGCGTCTTTTCAAAGCTAATTCAAGGCTGTTTGGCAGTACTCGGTTTCCTGAGGTCACCGATGGTTGCTATGCTGCGCTGCTGTTGCCGTGGAGGCGGAGTGCAGCCTGTCGGGACGGTCGGTTGAAGATAGAGGACGTAACTGTCACATGCTGGAGGAGCGTAGCGAAGTTTATCTGCGGGATGAGGATCTGAATGGAAGAAATTCATGAGTAAAATGGATAGTGCTTGTTGAAAAAAGTATAGCGAAAAAAGTTTTCGGTGTCTTAAAGATAACAGATCTCAAAGTTGTCGTGCGCGCGGACGTGCCTTTGGAACTGGAGCGCGAGCTGTCGTTTAACCGTACTGCCGCAGTTGTTGGAAGAGACGTTAATTAAACGTAGACACCAAGATCAGCAACTTCGACTTACGATATTTAATAGCAAACTTTGCACGACTATTGAACTATCGGTTCCCCGCGACTGACGAGGACCTACGGAGAAGATCAAATCAGCATGGTGAGTTTTGACGAGGCCTTATTGCTAGCTAACGAGCAGCAACCTGTTTGCTTCCTTTCTCTCGTTTCACACACGCGTGCTGTGTGAAGTTTCTCAGATACTTGTGTGCTTTTTCTTTGATTACACTACACTTTGTCTTTACGTTTCTCATTCCACACAAGCACCTCTCTTGCATTATTTTAACCTGTCAAACACATTAGCTTAGTTTAGCAGTACGAAGTGTAGCCGGTGTCGTGTGCGGGTAAGACGAGAGCGAGTTAGCGAAACATGGTGGTGTCACTTGTTACATATGGCAACGTTACGGTAGGACACCAACCAAAGACCCGATTCGGCAAACACGTATTTACGAACTCGTTGACTTGGTGTTGCTGCTTTACGAGTTACACTCGGTGTGCGTTTTAAAGTTGGATTACACGTGTAGTAAATATGGCACGTGATTTGTGTTAAACGTTAGCACCACTGTAGCTGAATAGCCCGTGATAAAGGTCATAGCCCTATGCGACGTTCATTATGAAAATATAAGAACACGTACAGCAGGGGTAATGATGATCGATGACACCCATTTTAACCAGAGGGAGACTTATTTAAGCGAACTTTAAATGAACACAGTGAATATCACTTCGTGTTTGAAAGCGCTCGGGCACGTCGGTGCCATGTGCTCTTCTCGACCCTCAAAGTACTTCTAGTGTTTCACTGTAAACCCAGACCTGCTGCTTTTGTAATACAGTGTGGGATAGCAGATTGGATTGAAAATAAGATTCTAGTAGTGTGTAGCTACTCTAAATATTGCACACTCGAGATTTTACAATGGATGACAGGTCAAACTGCCTTATTCGAGTCATGCTGCCTTGAGGCGGGTCTGCGCCATGTACGGGTGCATGTGAGCGACTGAGAGGCGGAACAATGGTGATAAGCAAGCCAATGAAAATTCAGCTGGCGCTTACGTGCGTATGCGTGTCAAAGCTTTAGTAGTACTACTTCAGGGCTCCGGTGAATGTGTGTGAAGAGTCGACACATTTGCAAAGCTGGATTAAAGGATCGCTAATGAACAGAGTTCATCCATTGGATTGGCTCTGATGTATAATGCTAAATTAGCTTTGAATGTCTATTTAGGATCTTGACTGACCTGTCTTGTTGGTTGACTTGACATATAGCACACAAATGTTTTTTTGACACACGAGACTCATCATGACTCATTTATTTATTTTTAAACTCCAGTACATATATTAAAAAATATCAAATCAAAAATATGAATTAAGACCACAGTGCAGTAAGTACAACACTAAAGTAATCTCTTTATTCAGTAATATACATGTTTTCACACTATACAAGGCTGTACACAATCTCTCATTTAAAAAAAAAAAAAATTCCATTTACTCTTGCTACAATTCTTCCAGTCTTACTTTCACTCCACTTTGAGTGACATATTTGAATACCACTTTCTTATGATTGATGCATGTTTCTCAGAAATTAGTTGCTGACCTACCAACTGTATGCAATTATGTTAAAGTGTAATTTTTGAAGGAAAAAGCTGTTTATTCTGTCTCTTTTTATGATCATGCAGGTTACCACAAAGGGAGCGGGCCTGAACCCCAATGCCAAAGTGTGGCAGGAGATCCCTGCCCAACAGAGTGAGAGTCCTGAGGAGATGGACAATGCTCCATGGCTCAATACCTGCCCTCCTCCTGCTGAAATGACCGAAGGTATGTTTGTAGGGAAGAAAAAGTTAGTTCCTCTTATATGGTACTACACTAAAACCAAACGTTCTCACTTGCTCTGGTACAGTGTTAAAAAATAGGGAGTTAATGTGTGGCAAGTATAGACATGTGTAGTAAAATTATAGATAGACATGGTATGAGGAAATGGTTGAGGTTGCTTCTCTTGTCCATGGGAGTATGCAGTAAATGCAAACATGACAAACCTTGTTTTGTGTATTATAGTATCAACAGTTATGACATAAATGTTGCACAGTGAGGATTGAATGAATTAAGTGTTCAGGTTCACTAAACTGAAAATGCTGACCAAACAGTAGGACCTGAGTGCAACAAAAGTTGGTGGTTTTTCATGAATGAGATTGAGGGTTTTCTGTTAGTGTGCTCCTGTATTTATCAGGTTCATATTGTTTAGCAAAGTTTGGTCTTGCAGTTTTGTGTTGAAGGCCAATGAAGTTTTGCTTTGTTTTTATTCCCCACCCCCCTGGAAGACACATGAAGGTTGAGTTCTGTATTGTCCATGACACTTCTCAAGCAGACAGAGAAACAGTCATTTCCTTTAATAAGCCCTTTGGCAAGTCTGAAACACTGGCCCATCTAATTTCATCACTTAGATTGTGCAAGTGGTACTCTGTCATTTTAAGAAGACAGATATTGTGTCGCTGATGCTTTGACTCATTTATACGTATTGATTACTGTACCGATTGTCATCACCCATTTTTCTGTAGCCTTTTCTGCTAAAGTCTTATAATCAGATGTTTGAATTTCACTGGCAGTTGATCCACAATTTGGAGTTCACGTATTCACATGTCATTTTACATGCATGTAGTTGAACTAATTGGAAATCTCTTGGATTTTTTGCCTATCTCTCATTTCAATGTTAAGGGGCCGCAGGGTTATAGTTTATAGCCCGTTATAGTTTCAGTGTAGTCCTCAAAAAAATCTATCTCCATAGGATGAAGCCTTGCACTTGTAATATTTGAAATAATGAAACATTTTTAGTGAGATTGCACAAAGGTGCACTCAGTCCTGTTGTGTACTGCTTTATTGAATGTGACACTTATCACTTGGCTGTTTTCTCTTAGATTACTCAGATGTTCCCTCTTCAGGAGGTAAAGGATACTACAGTGAAAACGTGGACAGCACTGCTGAGTATACCCCTGTGAATGACATCAGTCCGTCTGACCAGGGGTTTTTAGGCTTTGACCCACAGTGTGAATCCACCATAGATAATGCATCTGAGGTGCAGGCGATGTCCGAAGAGAGTTTGAGACAGTCTTTAAAGGAACGTCTTGAGTTCTTCTTTTCTAGGTGAGTTGTGTATAATGTATTGTTGCCTTAATGGGACAGCAGTAATTACTGAATTTACTTTGTTTCATAACTGTAAGAAGCCATTTAACTTTTAATATATATATATATATTAATATATATATGTATATTCTTATATTGAGTCATTGGTGTCTGAAGTTTCTAATTTGGCTTAACTGTGGTTTTCATCTTGATTCAGCTGCACAAACAATGATTCAGGCTGGTAGTGATTTAATGTTCTGAAATGTCTTAGTATTTGCAAACTCTGTGCTTATTGAACAAAACTTCTTTTAAAAATTATTTTATAGTGACGTGTTAAATTGGACAATGTCTAACACAAAAGTGCTTAATAAATGGCTTTCCTACACTAATGTAAATGATTTAACATCAACCCCACCACCATCATCATTTTGGTTGTTAAAAGGTTGATGTTTGTGTTTTACTATTACTGCAAAGAAAAAGCTGTAACTCAGAGAGACCAATGTTTTGGGTATTGCAGAGAGAATCTTTCAAAGGACCTCTACTTGATATCCCAGATGGATGGTGATCAGTTTGTTCCCATTTGGACACTTGCTTGTATGGAGAACATTAAAGCTCTTACCACTGACATGGACCTCATTCTGGATGTACTGCGAGGTACAAGTGCTTCTGTTTGTCTTTGTTTCACATAGACAAGCTGATACTTTTAAGAGTTTTGAACTCTAATAGTTCTTAAACTGCTACCTGCTCCAGCTTTATCAAATATAGAAGATTTAATGTAAGACTTTTTATTTATTAGGTAAATGCAATTACCTAGTTTACTACTTAAAGTGCCCATTGTTACTTTTTAAAAAGTAATGCATTACATACTTGAAATAATTTGTTTCATTACACTTCATTACATTACTTTTGTTTTACTCTTAGTGTGTGGTTAATTTACCACATAAATAAGATTATTCACAGTGTCTACCAACTTTAAATTGGCTACAGTGGAGCAAAAGTCTTTCATAGCTATTACATAAATGGTATATGTCAGTTGTCTTCAGCTGCACTGCGAAGATTTAGGAAAATAATTTTTAAATTATTTTTTTTTAATAAGCCTCCCCCATGGTGCAAGTTGATGAAACTGGGAAGAAGGTTCGACCAAACCACAGTCGCTGCATCATTATTCTAAGAGAAGTGCCGGAGACGACCCCAGTTGAGGTAAAGATGACTCCTACATGCTAATAAAATATTGCTCTGTAACCCCAGACTGTCTGACTGAATAGTAAAATCTACAAACGAGGGCTGCAAACTGATTGTGCTTGCATAAATTGTGATAACTATTGTCAAGTCAGCTTTAGATGATTAAAATTTTGTGTGGTAGTGTGTATGCTGTAGCTTAGTGATAGCTCTTTTTCTTTTCGCTCAGACTTTGCATGCTGACTTGTGGAGAGTGATGGAATGGTCTGTTTTAGGTCAAAATGTTTCATGTTGTGTTCCTCTCACAGGAAGTAGAGGCTCTTTTTAAGAGCGAACACTGCCCGAAACTGTTAAGTGTTGAGTTTGCGCACAACAGCAACTGGTACATAACTTTTCAGTCAGACATGGATGCACTACAGGTACGTCCCCTTATGAATTACCACAAGCTACTTTTACTTATTTTTAAACTGGTTGTACAACTTTAGGTGTATACAACCAGTTAAATATTCTATTATTACCTGGCATATTTAACTTAAAATTGCTAAATCTCACTACCTAGCAGATGCAGTACTTTCTGATCTTTTCATGTTTCACTAAGGTTCTGCATTAAAGGAGCATTTCTACCACATTTTCTTTACTGTTTTCTTTTCTTGCCCTCAGGCTTACAGATACCTAAGAGAGGAAGTTAAAATGTTCCAAGGGAAACCAATCATGGTGAGTAACCCATGTTTTTATTTCTACCTCAGTCACTGCTTGTTATAGGTTTATAGATGTATGGAGCCTGCTACACTTTGTGTTCCACTTGATAAGCAAGAATGGGGATTTTTATTTATTTATTTATTTTTAGGACTTTTAAAAAAAGATTTTCTATCAGTGATATTTTTGCTGGACTTTGTTATGACATCGTGTGCCCTGCTGTTTTATCTGATGGAGCAAATGACACAGTGATTTGTTGATGGTCCTGTTTAAGCCCCAGTGATGATCAGTATCGCGCTTGGAAGGACCCATATGCACTGTGGCTGGCTGGGTGGAAACTTTCACTAGCTTTCTTAAAATCTGTCTGTTTCTATGCTGTTCCTCTCTCCCTTATTTTTCTTTTATACTCCTTCCCCTCCTCCCCCTCCTCAACACCTTTCTTTCCTCCTAGTCGGTGCAGTTTTTATGGCCTAATGACCGTGAGATTATGAGATCTGAGGGGACTAAGGACAGTAGAGCTATATGGGTCCTGTGGAAATGTTGTATCGATATTGATTCTCTCATTTTCCCTGCAGGCCCGCATTAAGGCCATTAATACATTCTTTGGCAAGAATGGCTTCTGTAGTGTCCAGGATTCAGGTGTGTACAGTCAACATGCTCCGCTGCAGGCCCCGTATGACTCAAGTGCTCCAGTGTACATGCAGTCGATGTACAGCCCTCAGCAGCAATACCCTGTTTATCCTATTGTGTCTCCCTCCTGGAATCCTCAGCCATCAAACATGCCTTATTTCGAAACACCGCTGGTGAGAACCTTAATATACTATTCAGAATGTCCCTTAAAGCTGCTATGTTATTTATTTTAATGTTTTTAATGCTGTTCAAATTAATGGCAGTCTCCATTGTAACTAATATTTATAACCTCTGTAAACTCAAAGTTAATATTAGAGTATCAGAGGGTTTTTTTTTTTTTTGTTTGTTTGTCTTTGGGGGTTTTTTTAGTTACATTTGTAATGATTTTTTTCTGTTTGGTGATATGCAGGCACCTTTCCCCAACAGTGGATATATGAATGGTTACAGCAGTTCCGGGAACTACAAAGCTAACTCAAGCTCCATCAACACACATGCTGCTATGACCAGGAACCGGTATGTACAGTTATGATACAAACTTTTAGTTTATTAGATCAATGCAGACTTGACGTTACCATCAGGTGCTGGCAGTGTTTGTTGTAAGCTTTAATTTAAGTAATTAAGGACTTTGAACTTGGTAAAATACTTTCTGCGGATGGTAATGCTAGCATTAACGTAACTGGAACGCAGTTTGGTACCAGTCCTTCCGGAGTCCATTATTTTGCTTCAGGACTGAAACTTTTTTCTTTAAAAAAAAAAAAAGAGTACTCTGTTTCCTCTGTTATTGTCATTTGCAAACCAATAAAGATGAGCTTTCTTGCATTGCTCTTATGTTCACTCTTTGTTAATAAAACGTGTACAATCCTGTCAAACTGTGCTTTTGTGGTAGCGCTTGATTTCTGTAGTAAAACTTGTAATTATTTTTGTGTGCACCTAGAAATCATTTAAAAGGTCATCCCAGGCCTGGAGATGTGCACTCTTCTTTTGCTCCAAGGAACCAGTTGGATGGTGTGTCTGGTCCACAGGTCCTGCAAACACAACAGCTGATCTCTCTGGCCTCCTTCAACCTTAAAGATGTGAGCGGGTCTGGACGGGGCAGGTGAGTTAGTATTATCCTACACTTACCCCTGTTAACACTAAAACGATTTCCAATCTGATGTGGCAGTCTAATGGTATGTTGTTGTTGTTTTGTTTTGTTTTTTGTTTGTTTGTTTTTTATAGAAGAGGCCCCAGTAGAAGCACAAGGAGAAAAAGGGAAGATGAGCAGGCAACGGTCAGTTGGTTTCCTCTTTTCGTGCTCTTTATTTAAGAAGTTGACTGCCGGGACTGTGTCCTACAGTGTCTTGGTGTGCTGCTTTTTAATATATTGAATTTTATTTCTTCATTCAATGTAGAAGCCCGTCCCTGTACCGGAGGCCAAGGCATCGCATCCAAAGTTTGACCTGGCAGCCTCCAATTTTCCACCTCTGCCAGGATCTGTGGTCAGTATGCAGGAGGAAAGTGTCCCTGAGATGCGCCTTTCTGATATTGTGCGTGGCCTGAAGGTGACAAACAAGGTGAATATGTTGCCTCTCCTGCTGCTTTCTATCCTTAAGACTCTTTACAAAACAAGGTAAAATATAATGCATAAATTTAATTGTCATTACAGTCTGTCAGCAAAGATGTTCCCACAAACATCGCAGAAGGTCCTGTAAACAAACCTGATCCTGTAATTCCACCTAAACCTGCTGTTGTGTCCACACAAACAACCACTCCACCAGTCTCAAGGTAACCTTTGCTTCAGGCTAATACATCAGTGAATAACAAAGGTATTAAGTCTTCAACAGTTCACTTATCCCTTACTTTTTTTGTATACATTTAGTGATTCTCTTGTAGTAAAGGAAGAGGATAAAACTGAAGCTCCTGTAACAAAGGAAAATGTCTCCTCGTCCACACAAGCTCACACACAATCACCGTCAGAACATGCTCCCTCCACCTGCAGCCAGGCTCTTTCTACCGAAACCTCTTCATCGCCTCCCACATCCCCAACATCAGAACCGGTAAGGACTTCTTTTGTGCTGATTATTACATTATATTGTCTTGTAACATCAGCTTACAACTCCCCAAACTCAGCGTGTTTTGTCATCTTGGGTTTTTTGTTTTAATTTTTCTAAACTGTGGTTCCCTGTTCTTTCACCAGGGTCTAAAAAAGCTCAGTTATGCAGAGGTGTGCCAGAAGCTGGCCAAAGAACCGCTGCCAGCACAGATGCCCTCTCCCTCCACTCCCACCTCTTCAGACAGCCAACCCCTGCAAGAGCTCAAGGTAAACAGGGTGGAGGAGCCTCGTCCCAATGGCCGACAAACTGCAGAGAAACGTGGAGATAAACGGCCTCCTCGGCAACCACTGCGCTCCTTCAGAGGGGGAAGTGGCCAAGCCAGAGTCCGAGAGCCAGGGCAGAAGATTCGGGAACATCAGAAGGGCCTGAACACTGGGAAACGATTTTCACCACAGCGGGCAGCCAGACGCAGTGGCAAAGAACAGAATATCCCTCCAAGTTCACCAAAGTAACCAAAGGGTGGAGAAAAATGAACTGAAAACAGAAAAGAATATATGTACATATGTAATATATAAAGACAGATGCCTATATTTCATTTCATGAGTTCGTCACATCTCTTTAGAGATGCTGAACTTTGCTGAAAGTAGTGTCACGATATGATATGAGAATATCCCTGTACATTTGTTGAATTTGTGGCATCTACATCTGTGGTTTAGAAAATATGAGACCTTGTATCTCTTTTTTTAAACATGTAATTAACAAGTAATCTGAAAAACTAGTATCTATTGTCAGTTATCCATGGACTTGACGTGTTCAGCTTTAGAGTGGGTTGAACTTTTGAAAGGTAAGAGTAGCAATATTTGTAGAAATGTTTGTAGACACTTGTTCTACGACTAGTGAATCTTGTCTTGAACTTATAATACTTGTTGGGTTTTGTGTTTTGCAATAATTTTCCTTTGTGGCGCAAATATTGGATCAATACCGCTAACATTGGAATAAGTGGAGCAGATCTGCTTATGTCATTTTTACTAGACTTTACAAAACTTTCTTTTTTCATAAATTATAAATATCGAATTATTCTATCAGTGCTAATGGTTGGTGGATGTAGGCAGGAAAGTGTTTGACCAGATCTTGGTAATGTTGGCATCTGCTTTGTAAAGTACAACTAAAAAGGGTTTGTTTGTTTGTTTTCAGCTAACTTTGGTTTCTATTTCACAAAACCAGTGTACACTGGGATTAGGTAAATAATCCAGTTAACTAGGTCATTGTAGTAATTTGGTGTTTGTGGTTCCTTCATAGTTTCAGATTGTTGAAGTGGAACAGTCATGCTGACTCAAGTCTTCGTCAGTGAACCCTCTTTACTGCTAAAATATTATGAATGGCCTGAGGGACAGGGAGCAGAAATTTTCCCCTCAATGTTGAATGTTTTCACTGCTTGATTTCAAAAGTAGCATTTTTATTGCTTGAATCACATGTGCTATCAAAATGATGAATGTAGCTGTGGATCTCAAACCATTTTTTTATTTTATTTTTTTTAATGATTTTAACATGTATGTGGTTTTGTGTATGCAAATTCAGTTTTCGTTTGTCCACATGGTAGTGTATTTTATGTTGTTAGCGTTGACTACATGTTATTCGGTGTTTGTAATGTTGATGAATTGGTGTGTAGACTAATGTTTATTAGCGGTTAGGTTCTGATCTGTAATGCAGCTTGTGGCTTGACAATGAATATCTTTCAGTTACAAATGACAGAAGGGTATTGGGATGGATTTTTCAATTTGTACTTAGATTTTCTTAAATATGGTTAAAAGAGATGAGCAATTTAAGATAGAATTCAGATGTTAACAGGGAATTTACAAAACAGGCTGTACACTGTAGTAATCAGTAGTTTATACTGGGTTTTTTGTTTTGTTTTTAAAGTGTGCAGCTGACTGACACTGCTTGTGTTTTAGACTATAAGGAGTTATCAAACCAAACTCTGAGTGCCTTAATGGGATTTAATTTCATTATAAAAATGCTGTAAAGGGTGTAAACTTGTCATAATTAACGTGATAAAGTTCACAAAACCACCTCATTTTGAGGCAACAAAAGTTTCAGTTCATTCTGTAGGACTTGCCCTGTGTGCATTTTATTTTTAACTTACCAAAACAATTTCAATCCTGATTTTTTTTTTTTTTTTTTTTTTTTTTTTTAATTATTAAATGGGCTGGACATTTTTCGGAGTACATTGGTTTATACGCTGAGTTATAGTAGCTTGATGTATTCAAAAAAATAAAGGTTTATTTTTTAAAATTGGTTTGGGGTTTTTGTGTTTTAAGCCAGAAAACAAAATCTGTTCAAGGATTTCAACATGCCATCTGCCAAGTAAACATCCGGAAATAAACATTATGTAACTGCTGTAGGCGCGTTTGGCTTAGTCTTCAGTGGGTGTGTTCATAGCTTTCGCTGATAGTTGACGCGAACACAGCGGAACATATATGTAGAGAGTTGATATAACGGCACATTGAGATAAAAGTCTGGGAATATGTAATGATTTATATAATATCAATCTTATTTCGTGTAAAATCTACGATCCCTCCCGCACAGAGAAATCTTGTTACATAATAACTCTTCCAAGTTCTCTCGCGGTATTTGGGTAATGGAAGTGTCAAGAGTGTCAACAACGGCCAAGCAGCAGCACAGCAGCGCTGTCCGGAGCTGGGAGGGGGGGAGTGAAGAGGCAGTCTAAACGTGGGGTAAGTTTAGGGCATAGTTTAGTAAAATGTAATGTAAATCGTCATTTAAAGAAAAAAAAATGTGTGTGTATATGTGTGTCTGGATATTCATAAGGCATGCACCGCGCTCATACAGTCGTGGCTTGGTATATGGGCACTATTTAGCATTAGCGTGCTAACGTGTAATGCTAGCTACTAAGTTGGCGGACGTGTTAGTGTAACTTAAGGCAAGCTAACGAAGCTTCCATTAGCACTTAGCATGAGCTCAGCTAGGGGATTGTACTTGCACTAAACAGCTTTATTTGCTAGACGTGCCGCGCCTTCTGATATGTGGAATGAGTTTGTTCAATGTTAGCTTCCATGTTCGCTATAATGACACGTATGTCAGGTTGTGGAAAACAGTATTTCACGTGCTTAGCAATGTGGATGTGCTACCTTGCGGCCCATTTCTCATTAAGTCATAGCTAACTAGTAATGGATTGGTAACCTGTGTGTCCTGTCCACAGCCTGTAACCCATGTCTTATAGCTAACTACATAGCCGGACTACATCGACAGCGCTAATAGCCAACGCCAGTGACTCGATCCTGCTAAGTGGAGGTTGCATGGTGAGGTGCTTTGGCTCTTGCTGCCTCATCGTTGAACGCTAGTCCAACATTATACCCAACCGAGTCTAAAGAAATGCTCAAAACAGGCCCACAGTCTTCGGCCTGTGTCCCTCCTATCCAGATGTTATTGTGATTTTGGTGACAGATGAGCAGGCACGTGTAAATTATGACGATTTAGATTGTAGTTCTTATCAGCTCCATAACACTCAAGCTGATGCTGTAGGTTAAGAACATTTGGTAGTAACATATCTGGTGCCCTTATGTAATATGTCTTGGGAACCTGAGCATCAGCTGGTTTATCGCCTAATAAATTGGATGACATTGCTGTGTTTGTTGCTTTCTTTTACAGATCATTTGTCTGAGATGGCGGATGACCGGCCCTTTGTATGCACTGCCCCAGGATGTGGGCAGGTATGATTTCTTAAGACATACCTCTAACTCTAAACAGCCATAGGAGTCTGAATCTCTGCTTTTTATTCTCTTGTTATTAACTGAACCCAGCTTAGCTCACCAATTACGACTGCTGATAAGGTGCTGTGTAATGTATGATGAAACATTGCTTTAATAGTGGAAACCAGGCATTATTAATCTCACATCAGGATTAAAACTGTCTTGATATTCCTTAAATGTCATGTGTGGTGTCTTTTGCAGAGATTCACAAATGAAGATCACCTGTCAGTACACAAACACAAGCATGAAATGACATTAAAATTTGGTCCTGCCAGGACAGACTCTGTTATCATTGCAGGTAATGGCATCGCCATTTGTCTTTTTTATGTTAATCTGTGCTGAGGAGGTGGTCAGTGCTCTGAATAGATGAATTGTATATAATAGTCTGTGTCTGAAGGTGATATTTTTGTCCACTGATACTGACAGTTTTTTTGTTTTTTGGCAGACCAAACCCCCACTCCCACACGTTTTCTGAAGAACTGTGAGGAGGTCGGTTTGTTCAATGAGCTGGCCACCTCCTTCGAGCAAGAGTTTTGCAAAACGCAGGAAGATGATCAGAGGACGAAAAACCCGGTGAGAAAGACAGGGTTACTGTAGATCATGCGGTGTGCTTGTTTCGAGATAAAATCTGAAGGCTTTCATCTTCTCATCTTTGCTTTTGGTCTTCAAGGCCGCATCTTTACAAACACCATCTGAAGTAAAAGATGAGGATGAGGGGCCCTTACAAGTCGATTCTTCTCCTCCTGGAACTCCTGATTCCTCGTCCAGCATGTCAGAAAACAGCAGAGACTCTAGGGTGAGAGCTGTGTTGTAATTTGCTGTCCTTGCACGCAGGTAAAAATGATGGACACACAAAAATAGTTACATTGCTTAATTTATTAACAGGAGATCTACACAAAGCCCGTGGCAAGCTCTGCTCCCACTCCAACTATTGTGCGTCCTGGTTCTCTTCCCCTTCACATGAGTAATGACTCCCTACACCCCACGTTGCCATCTCCAACCTCCGTCATCACACAAGCTCCACCCTCCAACAGACAGCTTGGGTAAAATAATTTAGGTTGCTGTGGTTTGCTTTACTGTTTGTGGACCATGCTGACAATTTGTAAAACTTAAAATGAATTAACTGCTGGTAAAATGTAGAAATTATAGGTCTAATTTCACATGACCAACTAGCAAGAAAGTCAGTAATCCAGTCCAACCAGAAATCAAAGATGGGGCTGTTTGATTTTTACCTGGTGGGGAGATATGCTCCTATTAATTAGAAAGTCTATATTTGTCAGTCGCTCTCTATTGAACCATAAAGTGCCTTTTAGACTCTGCGTCTGTTATTTATTAGCCATCATTTATGGCCATTGTAAAGTTTTTTGTTTTTGTTTTGTTTTTTTGTGCAAAAGAAAGCATCACTTTTTTTTTCTCTTTTAACAAATTGTTTCTCTACCAATATTTAAACTTTTTTGAGACGCTCCCCCCAAACTTAAAAATATAGCTGCCTCTTCAGCGAATCTGTTATCCGTAGACTTGGATTACAGTAAGCAGCTGTAGTTGTTGTGTTGTACCACAGTTTAGTGTAGCAGCACGTGAATGTGCTCGTTAGAGTGGTCCTGCAGCTTGCAGTGGATCCACAGAGTAGAACAAGGACTACTGACTTCAGTCACAGATCAACACAGTGGAGTTAGGCTCCTTCCTGTCATGGGATTGAGACTCAATGGAGAGGCAGCAGTTGCTACAACAGAGACCTGGTACACCTGCAGGAGTGAATTTTTAAAATTAGAGGGAGGTGAATATCTATTACTACATGAAGTCTACTGTGGAAGGTCAAATAAAAACGCTAATCGGTGAAGCTCATGGTGCAGTAATGTGTCCAGAAAGGATAACCGAAAGCATCTTTTTGTTTTTTAATTTCCTAAAGAAGTATGGTTACTGTCATCATATGTGTCTTGATCTACTATGGAAATTGAGGCAGGTGTTGGAGAGCTGCAGCTCTGCACCACTCCGATTCTCCAGACTTGCGTGTTCCTCAAGCCAAAGTTACCTTTGAGAACAAATGTCTAATCTGGCCAACAGCTCTCCCACAGGCTCGTATCCACTGGTGAGGCACCTCCCTAATGGGCAGGCAGTTCCTCTCTTGCCCAGTCCTGTGCAGATGACCTCAGTTATATCTGTAAGATATTTTCCAGAAAAATGAAAAACTATACAACAAATTGTACTTGGGATGGAATTTTAACATATCCTTTTGGTTTTTCCCTCTCTTCCACTTTATGGATATTCGTTGCTATGTGGAGCTTGCGAGGCCAGTGAACACAGTGCCTAACATCCCTGGGATTCCAGGACCGCCTGTTGGAGGCGCTAGCAGTGGTTCATCCTCCCCATCTGGCTATACTCTTCACTCTGAGGCAAAGATGGTGAGACCATCAGTTGTACTTTGATCATTTTGTAGGCTGCTGGCTAAACATTTCATTTACATAAACAAACGAATGACATTTATAAAACTTTTACATGACCTGGGTGTTGTCTCTGTGTTTTTTTAGCGGTTGAAGGCAGCTCTAACTCATCAGGGCCCAGGAGCACAAGATAGCATTGGTGGGGGGTCAGGATCCATCCCTGCTGTTCCACAGCGACAGGAACAAAGCCAGCAGCCCTCTCAAAACTCTGATGCACCATCACCTGCCCAACCACAGGTAGATAGTGCACATATCATACAAGTTATGTGGTCCTAGAGCACACCTAGGACTATAGACTGTTAAATGTGTGTGATGAAGGAAAACCTTTGAATGTTCCCTCAAAAAGCTAAATGAGACTCAATACTAACAGCTGTAGTTTTCACATTATTGATGGCATCAAAGAGAAATATTTAGCAGAATGTCAGGCTTGTCCACAATTTGTGCTCACGTATGCAAAATAAAGGCTGAGTCAGTTTAAGTCACGCATGAGCATTGGATTTAGTGTGTTTTGGTTTGGATGCTTTAATTTGACAGTTAAGGGCACCAAATTATCTGCTACTCCTGAATTTTTACCCCTGTTAAATGTCAGGAGTTCCTGATGCAGTTGTTCTGTTTCCCCCCACTTAATGATCACATTTGGGTTTACAAGTAGCCAACTTTTACCCCCTCCTCATTCTCCAGGTGTCCCCTGCTCAGCCAACAGGGGGCAGGCGGCGGCGAGCAGCAGAGATGGACCCTGACGAGAGGAGGCAGCGTTTTCTGGAAAGGAATCGGGCAGCTGCTTCCCGCTGCAGGCAAAAGCGGAAGCTGTGGGTGAACTCTCTGGAGAAAAAAGCAGAAGATCTGGCCAACATGAACGTCTCCCTCACAGTGAGTTGTCTCCAGGGCGTAACATCAAGCATGTAAACACCCTGGCGGTCATAAATGGGTTTCTGTGGTGATATGGTAATAACGG